AACCAAGACCAATTTTGGACAACACTAATGATAATCATCACACGACCTTAGACAGTGAAGAAGTTCTGCTGTTCTTTAATTTTTAATTAATAAAAATACATTCGTTTCCTTCAAGCATTTTAGTATCATAAACTTGACTATAGACGAGATGGCAAGACCCAGATGTATCTATATATCTTATTAAGGCCGCCGAGTTGGCATCTAAAGGAATTTATGCAGTTTTTATCTTTGGTTTTCCTTTTGCAAGCAGGTGCAAGGAAAACAAGTCCCGTGGCGGGTACCTGTTCAAAGGTTTATGTCCTTACCCGTTTTGGATGTAGCTTTTAGAAAGTCACTTATAAAACATAATTCTTTTTTTTTTTTCAATTCCGTTCTTATGGGTTTCAGATAAATTTTAACGTAAGAGGTTAATCGAAGGAGTATCATTGGAGAAGTTGGATCCTATGTCAAAAATGTTTTAACAAAATTCATCATGAACCAAAAAAAGTAATAATTTTTTTATAATTCGGAGAACAAAGTGAATAGATTTTCGGATGTATCAATGTGATTTCTTCTTTCAAATCTTCAAAAAAAATGGCGAAATATATCTGGAAAAAGTTAACCAAAAACTGATTATCAAATAATAGACGAGAAATAAAGATAATAAGAAAATCAATAAGATGGACTCGGCGACGAACAGAAACTCATTTCCAAAGCTGTAAAGGTTCCAACTAATTATTGGAAAACAGTTTTCTTTGGCATCCTTCTCCTCTATCTATTAAGAAAGAAAAATATTTCTTTTTTCTGCTACGCTCAGATGTTTTAAGGATTTATTTATATAATCTACTATTTGACAAATTAAAAAATCTTTAGAGCAGAATAAAACAAAATTGATAGTTCTTAAGAAAGAGAGGGGAGTGAGCAGTAGACTCAACACTGAAAAATAAAGGACCTTATAATTTTATACCTCGATTGAACGTTTTATTATCATCAAGTCCTGATGAAGACCTGAAAAGTGGGTTAAAGCTTAGGTCTCAATGGATACCTTCAGCTGGGTATCAAAATCCAAAAATTTGTTGCATTTGATCCTGAAAATTTTTGAGCTTAATCAATGTCACACGAAACAGTCCGTGGTACAGACCACTTTTAAGCAAATCATTAACATCCGCCTGAAATTTCGTAAGTAGCTTCATCTCATCGTAACCTACAAATATTTTCTTTACGAAAATTTTCGGAATTGGTGCGTTTTCAATCTGGAGATTGGCAAACTTTGTCTATTTAATTAGATACTATAAACTCGTAAATACCCATTTGTTTTCCACTTAAATCGTAAGATAATTTGAGCACGAAATCGAGAAAAAAATTCCCTTAAAAATATTGAACCGTTTGACTAACGAGGTTATATTGGACCAACGGCCCAATATTTTTGTATGCAACCTTTTCATATCGATTTTGTGATGAATTATCTTACGATTCAAGTGGAAAGCAAATGAGCATTCACGATTTTTTAATACTTAATTAAATTGACAAAGTTTGCCGATCTCCTGATTGAACATGCCTCAATTCCAAGATTTTTCGTAAATAAAATAGTTGTAGGTTACGATGAGATGAAGCTATTTACGAAGTTTCAGGCGGATATTAATTAATTGATAAAAAAAAGGGCCTGCGCCACGAACTAGTAGGCTTAGTGAGAAAGTTATCACTGCTTCCTATTAAAAAAAAACAAAACACAACATACTTTAAAAACACTTAAAATTTAAATTTCCTAATTTTCTGTCGATAATTGGACCATGTTTATAGAAACTTCATTGCAGCTGTTGAGGTCTACTATCACTCCTATAAATATTTATCTCTACTTAATTTACAATACTCCCTAAATATAGAATAGAATAGAATAGAAAAATAATTTATTCTGGGACATAGTCCCTTGAGAATAACAAAATAGAACAAAATAAATACATTGAAACCGAACATTGGTGTTGAGGACATTGGATATTTATTGCATTAAGTACAACAGAATGAAAAAATTATTCGAATTTTAAAAATATTTTTTGGGGGCGTGTATCACAAATATTTTTGTTTCGAAATCCACTTAACAACTTGTGCCCTCCAGAAAGGAGTTAATTGAAAATTTGATGGATGAGGACGTGGGAGAACCGCGGGCAAGGAGGCCAGAGATAAGGCAGGCCTGACACGTCACTAAGGGCCTTGTCGTGTAGTCTAGATCTTGTCAACTATCTCTTGATTTACAGGCTCTTCTGGATACTGGAGTATATGGCCTTCAATGGCGTCATAGGGGATGGTCCGTGTACTGGATGAGAACGAGTATCAATATCAATATGTCATTGGACCATAAAAACAATTATTACTGAGTTATCTTAATTGTTGATAAGATCCGAATATGAGGATATCTATAATAAATGCATAATTTACTAAGAGGAAAATTATAGAGGTGAATTCTGCGAAAACGAATTCTCAGTTAAAGGACTGTGGTTCGGAAGTAGGAGAACCATTCCTCTTGCATTATCTTATATATTATACTAGTTGGCCCGTGAGAAAAAGTCGCAGAAAATTTTGTTTAATGAAGAAATAGTTCCATAGTAGGAACATAGTAGTTCCTATGTATTATGTAAGGAAGGAATTAATATTTTTTCCTTAGTCGATTACAATATTCCATTAAACATAATAGACCAAAATATTTATACAAATTGCTTTGCTAGGACCTATTTTTAAACGCTGACTGGAAAGATAATAAAAGTAATAACGACAAAATAATGCCCTGATCATAGGATATTCTAAATTACTAAAAAAAATAATAAAAATGTAAGTACAACCAAATGCCTTTAAGAAATAATAGTGTTAATATAAAAGCCAGGAAAAAAAAATGTAGTAGATTATTCTACTCCTAAATGCAATATCTTTACGCAGGATGACCTTATTAAATATACCAAAACTAATGGACTGCATCTTTGTTAATAACCGTCCAATTTTTACGATTTTTTTTTTGTTTTGTAGGTAATTCAGTAATCTTTCTAATTATCATGGTCATCAGAAAACATATTTTGTGAGTTATTCGCAAATAAAGTTTCTTTTTCTCCATATTTTAACTTTTCCCCCAGAAATTTCGGCGGGATGGGACTATTTTTCGCATGTGAAGGATTGATGAAGAATTGAAGTTATGGCGTACCGACAAAAAAACACCTTTTAGAAATAACACATAGGATTATCTTATAATACTACAAGTAATTTCATGCAAAGGCCCTGTGTTGGAAGGGAGTAGATGCAGACCATGGCAGAAACTATTATTTTAGACTCGTTGGGAATCCTCCATCACCACATGTATTGACTGATCTTGGCTTTCCCTTATTTGATCCTATAACTGTTCTTGGCGTATTAGCTGTTGCAGTGGCCAAATAACTCTCTCTTAATTTTTTTTTTATATTATCTGTTGATTGATTGAGTGTGCTGTGGGATTAAGCAACTCAACACAGTAGCGCAGCCGTGAAATATTATTGTAGTTATCTCTGTTATACTTAATGAAACCCTAAAAATATTTTTACAGCCAGTGAATATATTCTAGAAAAAAACAAAATGTTAGCAACTGATATGAAAATGACGCCAAGTCCAATGATACCAGAATTGAGTCAATTTAAATCCCTATTCATTCGTGACGTCGTAAGCCAGATTATCCTTTCTTGGACAGTTCTTGAATTGGTTCAGCGAGCATATTAAGTTGTCAGGGACGATTCAGTTATAATGTGACAGTTGTTTGTGTAAGTAGGGAGTTTGTTTATTTAGTTTGATGTTGTTATGTACTCCGTCTTGGTCTAGAAGTTAACCTGAAGGGTACTGACCTATTTTAGCAAAGAGAACCTAAATGACGACTTAAGTTTAGTTTACTTGGTGTTCGATAAAAGATTTTAGGATGTAAGTATTTGTACAATGTACACAAATATAAAATACATTTAAGACATACAACCATGAATACCAGTTAACGGATTACAACATTCGATTAAATCAAGTTTAACTCTGGGTTTGATATAAAACTTTTATTTTGAATCTATTTCGATATTACTGGAGACTTTGATTTTTTTTTTCCTGTTATTTGAAAATAGAAGTTTTTCCTTTTTCTCTTAAACTTTTTAAAAAAAGTATTTACAGAACTATTTTTTTATAAAAAAAAAACTCATCCTTCTTCGGTCTGAATATCCTGCGCAATAATTTATTTTCTAAAACCTTAAGAGGTTGTTCATCCCTTAATGTAAGCGGCAACGTTTCGCATCTATAAAGAATCTTGGAAGAATAATGGTTTTGAAAATTCTAATTTTTAAGTTTCGGGACAGGAGGCGCGAACTAAGTAGTTTTGACAAAGAAAAATAACAAGCTTTTCCCGCCTTCAACTAAACCTTAATCTCCTCTTCAATTTCGTTTTTTCTAGTTATCGTACCCTAGATACCTTAAATTCTCAACCTGTTCAAACACATTCAATTCTAATTCACCGAAAATCTTTCGTCAACGTTGTTGTATTTAGTTTTATGATTTCTATATCTTCGCTTAACAGAACTAAAGCATCAGCAAAGCCAAGTACGAATATTGTTCCACCCAGATTCAAACCTTTTTCGGTATGTATCACCTGAACTTTTTATTAAAGTTGTATACAAATTTCATCCCATGGTTCAATATTATTCACATTTGACTGAGACTAGAATAGGTTTCTTTATATTTCCAACTTGCGCAACCGATACTCAAACAAGGACACAACCTAAAACTCCTTTCAACATCGACAACAAACCGCAGGGGAACAATACCGAACACTATAACTCTTACAGAGGGCCCTCGCAGCCTAGGATTCGAAGCTTAGTGTCAAAAGAAACAGGTTCTGCGTCGAGGTTTTCGCAACCTCTCCTCCCAGGTGGGAAGGTTGCGAGGATAATCCTCATTGAAAGGGGAATCGCCGGAGGATACGGATGTCATCTGGCGTGTGCCCTTGCATAAATTAAACATGAGAACCCCAGCCGACAATGGGCACCCCGCGAGCGAAACGTCTGCTCCCAAAAAGGGCAGATGCTGTATCGCTTAATCCCCGCGGCCCGGTATTCAAATTCAAATCATAATTGCCTTTAGCTATCTGTAAAACGATACAATAGGCCTGGAAGGGAACAATCCGGTAATTATCTATAATGATACCAGTGGACAATGCCTTCCAAATAAATACCTTGTTATTTACAAATCAAAACCAAACAGAATGCTGCTACAAGATGAAGGGTATATAATGCATACCACCTGGCCATTCAATTCTCTCTTCGATAATTTATTTTATTAATAACGTATGATCAAATCATATTAACAACAGTTGTCATACCAACAATGAGCATGAACCTCCCACATCCAAACCATTAACAGTGTGTTAACCAACAGAATAGTTAACACAATGATAAACTAACTCCTGTACTCTTTTTGTATTCTCACCATTTATAAATTAACCGTATACGTTTAATGTCAATGACTGCACATGATACCCATGTCGAATCATTTGAACATATACAAACTATGATCTTAATCGTATATTTTTCGTACACTCTGTATACTACATATTATAATAGTATTTTATTGGATTTGCCGACTTTTCAACGTTCCAATGAAGGTCTAAAGCGGTTGAAATGCAGGCAAATAAAATACTATTATAATATATATTAGTATATATTGATCGCACTCTTGATCAACCATCTTCACATCATTATAAACTATATTATTAATATTTGTAAAGCAAAAGATAAAAAAAATAATAAAACTAACATTTAGGTGATAGGGGACACCACAACACTAAAATTATCAAGAGCAAAAAAAACAACTTACGTTTAGATTTTCAAAGTAGACCAGAATTCACTCACCTGGAATAAAAAATCCTTATTTAAAAAAAATTAAACAAACAAAGAAAGTACAACAAACAAACAATGTAAAAGCTAGCAAAAACTAAAAGAAAATGAAACACAACTGAATTTTTGAAGTAATGAATGAGACTTATGAATGTATTCAATTTTTATTCCACTTTAAAACAAATATCTAATGTTTTATAAGAGATTTTTGGTTTGTATTTCTAAATAGGTTTTTGGCCAAGGTCGACCGAAATAGCTCAAAAAGAATAAAATTGTTCTAAGAAGCTTATGCAAGATGACATTTGATATACAATAAAAACAATAGTTACGATAATAAAAAGTGATGAAAAAATTAATTATTTTATAACAGACTCCATTTTCCAAACAAACTTTAAAATATTCAGTGGATAAATAGCTCTCACATGGAATCCACATAAAAAAAAGGAAATATTTATTGATATATAACAGTTGTTCAACCTAGGACAAAATAAAAAAACTGTATTAAAATTTTATGCCATTAGCTCCTGTGCTGCAGGGCAACTAGCAAATTTAATGTAATGGGCATTAGTAGCGAGTTTGCTTGATTAGCTTTATATTGTTATTATTGTTGGAGTATGGCCAGTTTCTTTTTAGTTAGCGTCGATCAGGTAACAGAGAACAGGAAGTAGAAAGGCTAATGGATTGAAGTGATTTAGAGTTGAAGAATGAAATGAAGTGTATTTGTCGTGGATATTATAAGTTATGAGAGATAAAAAAGTACCAGTACCAGAGGAGATTTTAAATTCCTTGCCCTCACCCCTCACACCCAGGAAAATCCCGAATAGCCTAAAAAGGAAAGAATGGGACCGGAAAACAAAATAAAATAAAATTCGTTATGTATAGTGTTATTTGAAATGTACCAAGGTGCGTTGATTATTTTTCGTAGAATTTTTTATTGGGTTGTTTGTATTTTATTCATGTGTGATTCTTTTGCGGAACTCTAAAGTTCTCCGTGAATACAAATTGGTCTATGTACGGTGTTGTTGATCAGTCGCGTGTATCGTAAGTTAAGTGAGGATCATTAGTCCAGACGATGTGAGAATTGCTTATATCATTTAATCAGTTTTGTCTTTTTATTATGTATGTTAGAGGTAAGTCTTTTACCTAAGTACTTGCCGTACACAGTGTTTGAAGGCATTGGGTTTAGTGTTGCCCAAAATCGGTCTTTTGGCTAAGGCCGCCTAATTGTTGCAAGACCAAGACCGAGACTGGTAAACAAAAATCGATTTTTTAAATAAAAATTAAGGCAAAATAGTTACTAATACTTGACAATCTTAGTTACTATACGTAAATAATTGATAGAACCAATATACTTTTGCATTTAACTCCACTAATTTTTCATTCGGGCTAAGTTAGGTTTCTCCTACCTAAACAATTACAGTAATATATCTATAGTAATAAGCTAATAAGTAACTGCAAGACTGTTGCGCAAGACCAAGATCCGTCTAGGTCTCGCATTTGGACCTCACTAATTGGGTTATTGTCAATCGTTATGGGTGGAAAAAGGAGACTTTTGTAAGAGAGAAAGTCGCGTGAGTGGATTTGCTACTATTTATTTTAATTTTCCATTTTTCGAACCGTTTTGAAGATTATAAAGGTGATTTTGAAGGGCAATTGATGGGATTGTAGGTTTTTTTTTTTTTTTTTTTTTTTTTTTTTTTTTTTTTTTTTTTTTTTTTTGAATTACAGAAGTCAGCGAAGCAATAGATAAAATAAATATATTTTTCTTTCTGTATAATTATTACTAATTTTAATTCAAAGTTTTATTATTCTCGATACCTGGAACTAATACAGTTACGTCATGGTAATTTAAGAAGATGAAAATAGTTGTAATTATTTTTGTATATTTTAGTAAGTTCTGTTAGACGAGTTCTAGGATTGGAAATAAGAACCTCTGACAAGTCGTTGGTATTGCCTAAAACTGTCAACTAATCAACAGACTAACAAAAAAAGGTAATCAGTATTAGGGCAGGACGAGGCGAGCCCAACCCCTAATTCGGTCCCTAAACGGCCTGCGATGGAAGGGGAAGGGGGGGGGAGATGGTTTTTTGCTCGAGATGTAAATGTCTCCCTCCTCCAGGATTTATTTTCATGGCACTTTATGAGCTTGTTTGTGCCTGTCGATTTTTTTTCTGTAGCGATTCATTTAAAGTATTTGCAAACATGTATTATCCTCAAGCAATTTCGAATTTCAACAATATCATTCCTCCATTATACGGATTCAACGGTGATTTATTAAGTCTGGTTTTATTATTATTTGGTTTATGAAAACAAGCTCATAGACTTACAAGTAAAATGAGTCTATTTTAACATCAGAAAACACACAAAAAAAAATGCAGATAGCTGAACAAACTATCTTGTCAACGTTTCAACAATTCAGACACCATCGTGACAGAAAAATCCTAAATAGGTCAAAAAAAAAAATTAACTAGAGAAATATTCTTATGTAATGGAATTTCTTTATATAACTTCACATTCCTTCCCTCAGTTTTACATTTTATTCTTTGTCTACCTCACTTATTTTTAACATTCTAGGATATAATATTTTAGCAACTATGTCACCCCATTCATTCTATATCTAATACTTTTTTTTTTTTTTTTTTTGTGTCCTCCCCTTCCTCGCCGTTAAGGCTATACGGAATTTTCCCGAGCCAGGGGGTGTGAGCGGGGATTTAAAAGACTCCCCCGGCACCAGGACGCGAACTCGTGACTATTTTTATATCTTTGATTCATATGTCAGGTTGCCGGGCAACGGCAGTGCACACGCTTTAGCCCATTCGGCCACCCCGCCCACTATATCTAATACCTACATTTTATCTCATTTTAGTTAGTTTTTTTTAATTTTCATTCTTGTTACCTAATTTTATTTTATATTATGTTTATTTTATTAGTGCCCAACTAGTTTTATATTTATTTCATAATTTCCTCTCTAATATTGTTATAAGTTATTTCATAAGTTCCTCTCTTTTACTGTTATTAATTTTTTTCATATGTTCCTCACATCATTATTATTAATATTATTTGTTTTTCATAAGTTAATAGATTCTCATATTATTATCATCAGGTCTTTTCCTAGACCTTTCGAAGGCCTGGACTTCGGTCCAAAACGTCAGTAAATATAAAAATAAATATTATTTATTTATTTTCAATTTGTTTATTTTCAACTGAACAACCATCATACCACTATTATTCTTATGTAAGTTAACTAAACACTAACCAGTACGTATGGAATACGTATGAGATCTCAGTAAGACCCTCGAGTTTATACACTTCATCCCGGACTTTACCATTAGAGAGAAGTTCGAAGAAGAAGAAGAATGGATTGGGTGTCATGTACTGTCTATAATTTAAGTATGTCTACGGTTATAGTTGCCTTAGTCATCCTCCACTGGCTTTTAATACTAGTGATGTGGGCGAATGTACGATTTGAATGCACTATTCATAATTATTAATATCATTAATATGTTGGTGTGATGGGTTTACCAAATCTAGGTTCTTTGGGACTTGATGGAGAAATCAATGTGCGATCTTGGATAAAATGACTCTGATTTAATGCATCCTTTCTTTAAAGGTTAATTAGATCTAGAGTTAAAATTCGAAAATCCAGTCTAAATTGATGAATATTGTATTCAAATTTAACTATATCACGTTACCAGTTAGCTATTTTATATATATATATATATATATATATATATTTCACAAGTAACCAAAAATATTACAAACGTATAAATGCTAACTAGCAATAGACCAATAGAAACAAAGAGCCCTCGTGCTAACCCTATAATCGATTCCTTCAGACCGATTATAAATCTCTCCGACTCCGAGGATCCTCTTACGTGTTTCGAACCCGAACGCCATCCAGAATAGCCGTAATCTTCGAGGATTGCCTGCCCCTATCCTAGAATCTCTCCGCGGAGAAACCTGATGAGGCCGGAGTCCCCTTTAATCTGGGCTGTATACAACTGTGTTTACCCATCACTCAGATAAAGGCAACACAACTGCTTCCATTGTGTTATCTCTCTATGCTCGAGCAGAGGAGAGTGGTAGGCTCGAAAAGAGATATTTCCTGAATGGTAAATAAGAGTATCCACGAAGAAATCTTTGAAATCGGAAAGATTTAATTAGTTATATAAATGATCCTATACAATACAACACAATATTATACATATTTTTCACTAACTTTCAATATGAATTCAATACAAACAAGGACATTGAATTTCAAGAACTTTTGAGAACACGTTCGTAGTTCTCTTGGTGATTTGTAAATAATATACTTCTTTATTTTTATTTAGTCATCATTTAGCAATTTTCAAAGTGAAAAATTCTTTAGGAGCGTTTTGTACTTTTTTTGAGGAGAGCAATTTAGATTGAGCCATCAGAACTTCGATGTATAACGCCTGAGTAAAGCCGGCTGGAGTTGGGAGCAGACTAATTGAAGTTTCTGTGGACATGGATTAAAATATCCCGAAAACTAAAAATCAGACCTGCATATTCTCTATAATGAGCAATTATTCAAAATTTTATCTAAATGCACACTGGTCATAACCTCTATTTTCAAGGTGTTACGATTATTAAAATTTCTATGTTTTTAATGCCTGACAGGCATAGTTAACTCATACATACATCATTAAATATATTTTAGGCGTTTTTGCTGAATTCTCAACATATTTTTTGTTGTGTAACCAACGAACGCCAAGGTTTTACTGTAATCAAAATGTTCTTTGAACTCTGTGGTAATGATGAATACAAAAATCAACTGAGATACATTCAGGTTTTGGTAAATATTCGGCAAATTTAGTCAAAAAACTAACTAAAACGAGCAAGAAAAAAATCCTACCTGTATCTAAATAAATGTATAACTAATATAATTTATCTCTTTCCGTCATAGAAAACTGGAGGAAAAGACTAGAACAAAAAAAAAAAACTGAAAGAAAACGCGAAGGAAAAGATTGAAGAGAAATTTAAACAATTTCGTGACTCATAATTGATACTGGGGTATTTTTTTCAGCTCGCTACTATGTATTTGGTTTTATCATCATTTAGTTGTAGGTTTGTTTGCTTTCTTCTCTTGCCACAATGTCCTATAGATGTGAATATAGCTAATAGACAGTTATATTTGATTTCGGCAATAACCTTATACAATAAATTTTCATTCTTACAAGATATTATATGCAAAATATATTTTATTTATTTTTGAAAAAAATTAACAATAATAATAATTGTTGGTCTTACCATAAACGTTTTATTGTATATTAATTCAGAATGCCCGACATGCTATAATAAATTCAGTTTTTCAAATATCTTGCCTAAATTGAAAGTTTCCGAGGATTTTGCCGATTATATGCATTTTCCGACCACTGTGCGCCGTATTACAGAGGCGAACAGAAAATAGTGTCGAAAATCAAATAATGAATTTGGATTAAAATATCTCATAAACTAAATATCGGATCTGGATATTGTAAGCGAAGGAAATGTTCGGCATTTTATCCTCTTTATAATGAGCTGTTATTTGTAATATATATTTCACATTATTAATCTCGTCGTACCACGTTATACACACGTTATGTTTCCACTTCTAACGTGTAGTCAAAAGCTCGCACCTTAGTTTTTATTTTATTTATTTATATTTTCTGTAAATATAGTGTGAATGAACTCTTTCCTCACTGTAACCATTGTACACATTGTGAAAGAATGTCATATTACTCAATAAAGTAGTATACAACAAAAATAAAACAAATCCACGAGATCTAACGCTTTAAAACATTATTCAGGTTGGCTTGCCGTTATTTACTCTAATGGTTCAATCCTCATTATAATATCAAATGGTCAAGAAAATAAGATATAACACGTTATGGAAAAAAAAATCAACAATAATTCGGTAAAGGATAGCAAAAGAGACGATTTTCGACGTAAATCCTCTTTTTTTTTTTTTAGAGGATAAACCGATAAACTTGGAAGAGAACTTCGGAAAATCCGGGAAATAAGTAAGAAAAGCTGTTTCCCCTGGAGCCTCCTCGCTGGAGCTGGAATTGCTGATCCTATTGCCCTATTTTCCATCCTCTCAGCCACGTGTCAAAGGTGTACAGTCGGCGGAATATTTTACGCCATTTTATCACTATTATGTTCAAGACCTTGTTTACATTAAACATTTTTTCGAGCGATGAAATATCAACAAATCTACAATAGCAACCACTGATAACGCAAGCTTAACCGAGAAATAATTGACTTCTGGGACATAATGCATATACAAGGTGTCCCGTAAGTAATATTAACAGAGAATATTAAAAGAGCAGATGCCTAGTAGATATTAAGTTATACAACACAAAATTCATACAAACTATGGTCAAATTTCTCGATATTAAATAGAATAAGATCTGAAATTAAATAGGAAATTTAATTTTTGTGTTAACATTTTAATAATTCATATTTTTTGTTGAGCAATAACTAAAAAAATATTTAATTTAAAACTGTTGATTGTCAATACCATAACAGCTGCGAATAGATATTTGAAGTGAAAAAAATAACAAAAATTTAGTTAATTAACAATTATTTCATAGTAAACAATACAAACTTTACTTCAAATACAAGCAGATTCTGTTCTTCTTAAGCCATGTGAAGGCGATTTTAAAACAGTTAAACTATGATGAGGACTGTTTTTCATAAAATTGATTATTCAAGATTTTTATTTTATCCCTTTTAATTTGAATAAATATATCCCACTTGGTTCACGTTAATTACGTCGCTCATCAACTGCAATCTACTCCTAAATGTCGAATGAATTCTTCTAACCTTTTTTTTTTTCGATCATTCAAAAATGCACTTCCATCGACAGCACAAAGCCATGATAATTTCCATCAACTTGCCATTTTAAATAACTGAAGATAAATCATCTTTAAAGTCAACAAAACTTAGGACATAATATATAAAAAGGTATAACTGCCTATTCACAGCAAATTTTTTCAGTTCCGTAACGTGAAACAGAAATTAATAATAATAAAATATATGACAAAAAATGGACGGTATTTGAAATGCCAAAGATCATAGATAAAAAATTATTGGATCTAAGAAAAATACAGGATATTAACTTTTTTTTTCTCCATTTTATTTCCAGCATACTAGTATTTGTTGCAAACTATCAACATCCGCCTGAACCTACGTAAATTGTTTTATCCCATCGCAACCTATATTTACGAAAATACTCGGAATTGTGGTATTTCAAATCTGACGGTCGGCCATCAGAAAAAATGCGGCCTTCAAAAATGTTGGGTTGTTTGGCCTGAATAACCTCGTTATTTTGACAATTTCGGGGTGTATGTCAAGCCAAACGGGTAAATATTTTTGAAAGTCATCTTTTTTCTCGACTTCGTCTTCAAATTATCTTATGATTCAAGTGGAAAGGAAGAGGGTATTTACGAGTTTTTATTACCTAGTTGAATAAACAAAATGTTTGTAGGTCACGATGAGATGAAGCTATTTACTAAATTTCATGCGGATGTAAATAATTTTATAAGAAGAGGTCTGTACTGTTGGGTTGTTCGAACCAAACTGTGAAAGTCAAAATTCGTTCACTACGTAATAAATTTTAACCCTTCCTGGTCAGATTCGAACCGGAGCCGCAAGACTCTGTAATATAAAGCGGACAACGCTTTGGCACGTTTGACTACAAAGGCTTCATGACTATGTCAACTTGACATACCAGACTGAGGTATGTTAACAGACCATTTGCCAAAGTTACAGTAAACAAACATAAACAGTTCCCCTCCTTCCTTCCCCTACCTATGATGCCAGAAATGAACCATAGACTAACATGGCCGTCAGAAAATAGATATTGATTCGACTGCCTAGCCACAAAACCTGGTAATGATCTCTAAGCTCGCTTCATTAAAATCATTGCTAATGAGCCCCCTTGAGAGGCAAATTGCCCTTCGACCTTCAGTATTGAAAGCGCAGGGCACTGCTATATAAAGCCTTCTTCAAAGGGATTCTACAAATGATTTACAAAGACCTTGGGTGAGATAACTACTGTACTTAGAGGAATGATATTTATACACTTAAGTTAACGTTAAAAAGAAAAACTCACCGTAGCGTGTTTTAGAGCACACGATAGAAATAAAAACATCAACAAGCCGAGAATAATAATATGAAATATAAGTTATAAATAATAGTTCATTATAAAGGCGATGAAATACTGCACATTTCCCTCGCTTACAGTATCCGACCTTTAGTTTCTGCGATATTTTAATCCAAATCTTCCATAAAACTTGTCATCATTTGGTTTTCGACAATATTTTTCGTTTTCGCCTCTCGCTCGAATACGGCGTCGCTTTAAGATAAGATTTTGAAATAATAGCTCATTATAAAGAGGATGAAATGAAGAACATTTCCCTTATGACATTTATAGTATGACGGTTAGATTTTTAGTTTCTGAGATATTTTAATCCATATCTTCAATAAAACTCGTTATTATTTGGTTTTCGATAAGCGTTGAATAGCGCACGTTATTATTCATATTTCAAAAATGTTTTTAATATCGATGAAAATATTGACTATCAATATTTCAAGTCCGATATTTTGATAGTATCGATGGTTAATATATTAATATTGGAAGATATTAATATTAATATTGGGCCTTCGATATCCCATCTCTATCTTCTTAGGCTATCAGCAAACGTGTTCTAAAGTCGTCCATCAGAATTTAATGAAACTTTATATTTTATTGATATCACAAGAATATGATAATAATAAATTCAAACTACCGTAGTAGAATGGATGAGTTGTAGAGACATTCGAAATACGATACAGTACGGACTGCTCGAACCCTGCCTAGTAGCGAAGTGTAATGAACTCCGAGTTTGTAAACAAAGCGTTTCGTTACCAGCATTTGTAACGCTACGCATACTTAAGGCTATTTTATTACCGCTGAGGGTTTTCCGATAGGGAAAACAACACATTCCTTTTGCCTTTTTTTATTTATTTTTCTAACTGTTTGGATTTTTTTGTCTAGAAAATAAACTGTACGGTACTGAAAATAAAATTGTAATTTCTTTGGTGGCTACAGATTCTACTCTTGATTTGCATGTGTACTGTCACGTATACATAATATGATAATATTATTATTTAAGTGAGGTGACAAATTGAATTGAGAACCAATTATAGAAATAGAAATAAATTTTTAAACTTTATATAAATAAAGGCGCGCCAAATTTTGAGTTATGTGATGGAGGATCCACAACGCTTAGCGATATCGTGTAAGCGTTTTAGCAGCGAGAGGAGGAAATATATCAAGAGGTCGGCGTTCAATATTAATAAAATAATAAAAGAGCAAGATCGAAAAGTATAAAGTCAACTTTACAAAATTACGGCTTTTATCATTGAAAAAAAACCCACAAACTTCTGGCAAAATAGGGTTTTGTTTAAAATCTTAACGCCAAAAAAATATATACTTAAGGTGAAGTTGAGTAGGTGCAACCAGTTTATTTTATTTTTCATTTTCAAACTGTTACTGTGAGGCAACTCTTAGAATTATAACTATGGAAATACAACTCAGCACACTGTATTTAGGGTCTGGTTACGATATTCTGCGATCAGAATATTTCTTTCATTTGTGTGAATTTAAAAAAAAAAAAATTATTTCCACGTACAATTGATGCAGTTACTCCATGCAACCTCAATCTAGGATCCTCCATAAGAGGCAATATAAATGACAGTGGACCCGATTGAGTGGGGAAAGTGTGTTATAACTTGTTTTTAACTGATTCTGCCATTATTTTTTTCATTTTTTTATCTTAAGCTGTTTGGGAGGTACGAACTTTTTCATGAGCACTGGGTAAAATTTAAAAATCAAGTTCTCGTGTGATTTCTTAATTTTATTGAGCTTTTGCTACTAGAGCAATGTTGCACTTATCCCAGTCTCCGTGGCTGCACTTGCAAAATGACCGGCGAAGTGCAGCCACGATCCTCCTATTTAAATTATTAACATAAGATAAAATATACAAAATAAGATATATTTCTGAAAACTACACATTAAAATTTATAAAATATAAATTTTGGTTATTCTGAGTTAAAAGTAAAAATCACAAAAAAAAAAAAAAGTTTTATGACCGAACTTACGTTGAGAAAGAAAATGTAAGCCTTTTTAAAAACAATATAAATAAGTTGGATTTGCTCAGGCTCTTTGGTGGACATTTAAAGGAAAGATTTAAAAATTACAAACCAAGTGGTTTTTCCTACAAAAATAACCAAAAAAAACAGGCGTTAACACTGCCTATAAATTTATTAATTTGCAGAAAGTTTAAATATTTCATTTTTTTAATGTTATATTAATGCATTTTTATGTTTCGAATTTTTTTATTTTATATTTTTACAGTCCGTCATATATTTATCATTAGATTTTTTTAAAATAATATATATTTATTTTTTTCCAAATATCCGTAGAGATTCATTCTCGGTGTCCACCTAACACATGGAGAGATCTCAGAGGAGATAAGCTCAGCCAGAACAGCCTCGATCCCACGGGAGCAAGGGCGCCATAAGAAAGAGAAAAACCGAGAAAAAGTCTAGTTACAGTTGGATGTAACTTTTCCATTAGGTAATGAAGGGAGGAAGCCGCGAGGTGAAATCTTGCGGTTGACCACAGCAGCTCCCAGATCTCCTGGAGCCTCCATCACTACTGGAACCTGGAGCAGGCAGCTGGAATCTCGGTTCAGCTGCCTTCATCTCAGGGCTATTTGGGAAGAAAAACTGATTCCGCATCTGCTCAAACATCTGCCTCCGCCATTCGCTGTCATTTTTTTGGCCCATTTAAAGATACGACACTGCCTTCGCCCATCTTCAAGCTTATAACCTAAACAAATCATTACGTGACAGCGTTGTGGAATTGATTGGTTCAAGACATTAATATATAGTTCTTCGTTGTTTTTTAATAACAGAGACACAATTGAGTGGGAAGTACTGGGATCTCCTTGATTCCTACTTTGCCGTTTACATGTGTGGACAAAGATTGGTTCAGAATTTTTTTGGGGGATGATGTAAACATGTTACACAACAGTGCAAGATGATTTATTTTATAGTTATTTAACTTTTTTTTTTTTCATACTTTTAAGAGCGCTCTATTAAGCTATTTAAGTATCCTTGAACTGAGACACGATGTCACAGGAGGAAAATTTAAATTCAATAAAAAGATGTGTTGTCCTCTTGTATATACTTTTTTTTCTCCTTACTACTGGTTCCGATCTTTAATCAGGCCTTCATTAGGCGAAGTTATGATGGTCCTCCTCTCCTGTTTATCAGGAGGAGATTATTGTTAAGAGAAATATTTAAACATCCTTATAATTAATAAAACAATATTCTAGGAAATATATAATTTTTTAGTATTAAAAACTATTAAAAGTGAACTCGATTCCATCTGAACCAGTTTAACATCGTATTGTATTTATGAATTATTTCGTAAAAGTGAAAACATCTTCAGGCACATTTTGCACTTTTTTTGTGGATATTGAATTAGATTGAGATGTCAGATCTCCGTTGTGTAACGCTCTGATAAACTCGCTGGAGTCGACTAATTCAAATGTATTTAAATATCTCAAAAGGTAAAAATCGAATCGGCATATTGTCAGCGAGGCAAATGCTCCTCATTTCATCCTATTTGTAATGATGTATTATCTAAAATTGTATCTTAGCACACCATGTTAGAGAGGCAAAAAGCAAAAAAAAATAATGTCGAAAACAAAATAATAACGAGTTTTTTGTCGGTACGCTATATCTTAGTTAATGCTAAATCAAGAGTCCATAATTCAGGCATCATTTCGAACATTATATTCTCCTTCAGGTGCAAAAAATAAACTCATCTTCCAGAAAAGTCAGGAAAACTGATTAAGAAGAAAAGGAAACTTTACTTGCGCATAAATAAGAAAGGATACCTTCAATGTTAATTTGAATGTTTTCAAAATAAAAAAAACATCGAATTAGTACTATTTTTATCTAAGATAAAGCCAATTATAATTAGTGAATATGATTTGGTCTATTATTCTGAATTAAAATTATAAGTGCTCCCTCTCTTACTAAATTGCATTTACTTTGAAATATCTATAAAGACATTTATTCACTGGATGATAAACTATGCGAAGTATCCAACCAAACGGGACAACTAATATTTATATATTAATGTTAGGAAATGATTAAATTTGAATAAGCAAACAAGCTAGTAAGCGAAGTAAAGGAGACTTTAACAATTATCTGATTAATAACAAACTAATAATATTCCAATGAAATACAATGGCTCAAGATCTTGATAAATCAATGATGTGCGAATTCTGAAAAAAAAATGACTAAAAAATAGCATAAATATCACTGTTTATGATCGATGCTTTTCCGAAGGGATCCAAGATTTATAAGACGGAGGAGCTTTTCAAGTCTAAATACGAATCAGACATAGCCCTAGACAGTTTTGAAAGGGGGGAGGGTAGGGTACTGAATCCCTTCCAGAACTGTCCAACTGTCAAAACAGCCTGAAGAGTATTGCTTTGGGCTGGGTCTCAATCTCGCCGGGGGAGGATGAACTCGAAGGAGTTCCCAAGAGAGACGAGTAGTAGATATTGAAGAACTTGGGGAGCCCCGGGCAACTAATCTTATGGTAAGCTTTCTGGATGTGAACTCTCAGGAGTATGTCTAGACTTCAACGTTGACTTTGTAATATAGTTCTTCCAACTCGGTAAACCAAAAATGAGAATATTTTGGTTCCTTCTTATGTGTTATTTCTTTATCTTATTATAAAAATCACTCATCGATTATTGTAACAATCGATACAAATAAATTATCCATTTTGACATGCAGAAATATGAATTAAAACGTCAAGGAAATTCCTGAACCCATCGCAATACCCTCAGGTGTTTCGTTGTCGAGGGGAGCCAATCCTCATCAAGAGTTAATTTCCTGAGCGGGCCTTCCTAACTTTACATTTCTCACGGGAAATCGAATAATTATTAAATAACTTAATATTTAATTGGACTTATCAATAAATATCCTCTGGAGCTTTGCTATATTACTCTAAATCCAATACTTGGATTAACGATTTTTATTATTTATCAATGTGGGATTGAAGAAAAGTGCACATTCTTACGGACGTGAATATCAAGACTTTGTCTTTTACAGAGAGGAACGGGCCAAATCTTATACTAGGTTGCACGCCAGAAAATAATTATTAAAATTCATAAGCAGTGTTGCCGCACACACTCAATCTTTGTATCTCATACATCCTCAAGTACGCTTGCTTTATTGTTTTTTCTTAGACAAATTACGGTGACCGCACCGGTTATGGACAGAGGACCCAGTTACAGACAGGATGGATTTCAAATATAAAAAATAAGCATTCTTATTAATTTAAAGGTTTACGTTTTTTTTACATTGAAGAACAATGCCCTCTATAGACAACTGTATGAACAAAGTTCCCGAGTGAAATTTTTAAAATGCCTATCATTGTTGTTTCTATCGTATTCTTGAGATCAGTATATTTCATACCTTCCTACTAACAGTTTTGCTAAGAGTAAGTTGAACATTTATCTTTATCGTTATCTAAAGAGTTAAATGAAGGTTTTAGAATTTTTTCGCGGTATGTCCTGAATATCTATTACTATTACAAAATAAGTTGTCATAATTTCCTAATTTGTTCATGAATAATAAACTAATTGACTACATAGAAAAATCAAAATTGATGAAAGTCTAAATTTGCATTCAATTAAACCAATTTGCAAGGATCCACCGTCAGAACTTGAGTTGTCATTCACATTAATGTTAAAAAAAAATCTCTTAAAGTGTCTAATACCGGTACATTTACCTTGATACGTGTATGAAATATGGTTTATTTGTAAGTGGCGAATACAATTTAAACAAATGAAAATCGGATAACAACATACGAGTTTTTTATTATTTTTCTGTGCAAAACCAACAACTGGAATTTGGCCCATTACTCCCGACTAATCCTGCACAATTGTAATATATGTAAGCTCCCCATACAACATCCTCACACGTTATCAGCACTGCCAGGTGAACAAGAGTGGGGTTTAAACTGGACAAAGACGGATACGGTCCTTAATGCAAGATCAACAGGACGGAACAATGAAGGAAGGTGGACTGGACAAGACTCTAATTAGGGAGGCCTCTGAAGCCTCCAGGTCTTTGTGCTGGAGGACTCCAAAGCCTGGAGCCGTTCTAAATTATTTATAAAAAGGATACTTCTTCTACAGGGGAAGACCCTCTTTCCAAAGCTACTTTGCTGCTGCTTTTAGTAAAAAGGTTCAATTTTTTTTATTTTTAATTACTCACATAATTTTAACAGTGTGTCTCACAATATTTAATAAAGAAAATTATCATATTATTATAAATAGTCTCTTCGGTATAATATAAATTACTCACGCGCTTGGCAAATTCATGATAGTTGTAAAATTATTATCTAAGTATACTAACGATATTTTCAAAAACACATTTCGCACTCAAGATACAAGTAATCAAATAATATTATATAATTCCGGCAGGCGTTGAAGATATACCATGATGCGAAACAATCAATACTTCGAGTTGAAATATGTTTTTATTATACTTCAGATTATTTTGAGCCATTTAATGTTCCACTCAAAAATAAATATAAAATATCCCATATGGTTCTCACTTCAGATACTAAAGTTCGTAAAAATATATAATTTAGATTTTTACGATAGATTCATAATATTTTGACGATTAGATAAATCTTATCATTTGGAATCAAAATAGTTGAAAATAAATGTTTCAGACCTATTGAAAACAATCTGAATAATAATACATGAATTTAACTTATTATTTACTTAGTTTTCATTAGTTAATTATATTCAATTAAGTTACTGTTGCCATATCATAATTTCATATTTGTTCATAGAGTAAGTTTTTAACACATAGTTTCATAATTAACTTAAACAAAAAGACAGATTTATTAACATTTGTTTTAACATTCATAAATAAAGAAATAGAAAAATAAAATGATGTAAAATTTAGAAACGGGAATAGAAAAATAACTTACATTTTTCAAAACTTCAAAGCAAATTTAAATTCCTTTACCTGTAACAAAAAAAAAATATATGTACACAAACATAAAATTATAAAAGAAAATTAAGATGTAACACTGAATAGTTGAAGATACTGATGGTAAAAATTGGATATTGTTTAATGAAATTTAAATAAAGTTAAAAATAACATCAAATAAAATGTAATTTTAATTTTAACTAAATTAAAGTTAAACGTTGGCACAAATAAAACGAATTGTATAATGACTGCTTCCTGACTATTTATCACCCATAAATTAAAGACCGAAACTTCATAGGAAAATTTACATAAATAATAGTTCAGTTATTTATAATAAGGATAAAGATTAATACATTTTTTAAAACTTAGATTACTTATAAGTTATTTCCGTTTTGAGAGACATGGTATCTTCTATGTAGAGAGAAATATTTAAAGGGTTCATAGCAGACCTCATAAGGTACAGAAAAGTTTATATGAACTATTTTTCCGCAGAAAAGTAGGAAATTTAAGTTTTGTGTTTTTCTTTAGTAAGTCAAGTTTTTGGTTGAACAGGACGCGATAATTAAATAAATATTAATTTAAGTAACAATTCACAGTAAACTAGACAAAATTTACTTCAAACGAAAGTAAATTTTGTCATTGTTAAAAACATTTAAAAAGAACTTTTTGAGCGCCTAGACTTAGCTCAGTTCTGTTTTTAAAAGAATCATAAATTATCTGCGATTTTTTTTTATTATCACCCAACACTAAAGATATTCCACCTTTAGGCATACTTAAATTTGCTAGTTTTCTGT